CTGCGGCCCGCATGGAGCACCAACCCCAGTTACAGTGAACAAGTGACCCTCGGCGGGTCCCCGGTGTGACAGCCCGGGACGGGGCGCAGGAGACCGTCGGGGAGACAACCCTCGACTCGGGGCGTCCAGCTTGGACGGAGACGATCTCGCCGTGCGGCGCCCGCTTGTAGCCTGTGGCAATTAAGCGCATTACTACTAGGAAAAAGTTTGTTTTCTTTTAGGAAAAACATAACTTTTGCTCTTTACAGTTATTGAAAACAAATTATAATCAGGAAAAACATCGTAGTTAAAAGGAAGTTTTTATTAACAATAAAAGTTTTTCTTAATTCATATAAGATCCATCTTTAATAAAATAGGAAAATATGTTCCATAGTCCGAGTCTAATTCTAATCCATGAGCACTTTGTTCCAGGTCAGTCATCGCAAATGCTTTCTATGTTACTTGTAGTTAAACAGGTATAAGCCACAGACTACCAGCTACTTAACTAAAAGAAGAAACTGCTGGAAAATAAAAATTTATAGAATTTTATCATTGGATCAGAGTAAAAAAAAAATAAACAGGATAAAATTTTGTTTAGAAATCCTTTTATCGTTAGGGTGTTACCCCTTTCAGAACAAGTATAATTTTCAGAAATTATACAAGGCAACTTATCAAATATCAGTATTTAGCAATGTTTTGCTTAGCTGAAATTTTAATTGTAAAAACCATCTCTAGTTACAAAAAAAAAATCAAAAACCTTATTGGCTTTAATCTGCTTTTATAAATGTCTTAAGAATTTATAAGCTAAACAATATTTTAAGTAGAAAACCAGTAATTAAAAATAGTTTGGAATACTATTTTTGTGGTTTATATACATATTTTAACTGGTTTCTTCTACAGGAATCCGGACACTAGTTTATCACATTAAGCATTGTAAAATAAAGGCAAGAGCTGACCACCTTCTAACAAAAATACTCTGCAACAATTCCAAGTATCAAAGATATTCTTATTTAGTGGTTGATAATTTATTACCTGCTACAAAATACAAAACAAAATACATTTACTGTGTTGTTTTTCAGACTGCAGCTGCCCTCTGGCATCTAAAGCAAGGATTTCCCATAAATAAAAGCTGCAGTTAGTTTAGGTCAATGCTTTTTTCTCCCTATTATTTCTTCTCCACCGTCCCACCCCTGGCAACAACACAGTCTTATTAAAAACATTAAGTACCTGGGATTTATGCTTCAGATCAAGATATCATTTGAGTAGTTTCAAATGATGTACAGCTCTTCACGTAAAAAAAGCTGTTTCATGGTCACAATTACTTCAAAAGTAATTATATTCAAGTAACCTGACATATCATGCTTTAGCAATTACAGAGCCATGATTTTGACACATGGCAATTTATAAGTTAGGCAAATGTGAAACGCTAAAAGATGTGAACAGCTGTTCTTCTGCTTAGTGCTGCAAAATTCTGGTAATGACTTTATTTTTTTAGTTAACAACCAGCCCACAACACAGCATACTAAGTCACAAAGTACAAAGCCAAGGAAGGTGATACCCTTACTAAGTTACAAGACTTTGGCAAGTCAATACAGTACTCTTCAACACAATTCAAGTGGCATTTTTGTTGGAGTCATTTATTACTTTTGTGATAATTTTTACTCCAAGACTGTTGAGTACCAAATTAAAACACTGAATTTTAATGGTAGTTTATAGCAGAGCAAATTATTTATACGTCTTCTGAAAATTAAACAACTTCTCTAAACTTTAAAGTGAGTTCCCTCATGAAAGTTCTTGAAGTTTACTGCATCAGAGCAATTGTGTGTATGTAAGAGGTGGCTCTGCTTTGTTCTGGGGTTGGTCCAAAGCCAGGTAGACTTCCAATATGTGAAAAGCTTAAAGATTCTACCTGAAGGAGATTTAATAAGCCAATACCAATTTTCAAGTACTTTTCAAAAATTGTTAAATTTTCACATAAACCCTGGAATCCTCAAAATTAGAGACAGTCATTTCAAACAAAACTAATTTCAGATGATCCGTTTTATTTAGAAACCCTGCACCTCTTTGTTTTGATCAAGTCACATAGCCTTTCTTTGGCTTATTAAAAAAAAATCTACCTAAAATATGGTTGTATTTTTTAAATAACAAATAAATACACTGCCAGCTTGCAGGGACCTGGGGAGCCGGGCGCTGTGCATCAACCTTCATGATCATTTCTCTACAAGTGCCGCCGCAGCCATTGGTGTCCTTATGCTCCCTCTCGCTGAAGCCGTCAATTCTTCAATTTCAGCATTTAGTTTATGTATTACCCATTCCATTGCTTCTCGACCCTTAAAAAAATCCAGTACATTTATTGTTACCAAGTGAGAGCAAAGGCACATATCAAATAAATGGCATATCAGGAAGTAACAAGGAGCATCACAAACCTCACCATAACTAAACCTCACTAGGAAGGATGGTTTTTATCTTTGCTTTTTCTTCTTTAATGTTATTTACCAAATATCAAATGCCTTGAGCAATGGGCTTGGTCTATACACACTGATTCTGTATGCAAAAGATGTTCTCAAGAGTCTACAATTAAATGACAGTGACAATGATTAGTGATCCCCCTTTGGACTGGTGAGGTCAAACTCCTTTTTTCTTTTTATGTCCGTATTTTAAACCAAAACCCTGTACAAGGCTGTGACAGATCTGGCCCCTGACTTCCTCTTCAACCACTCCCTCCTGCCACTCTATGCAGTTCCCTGAGGAACAGAAAGAGGAACATTCCCTGCTTCCTGTCTCAGGGCCTTTGCACATGCACTGCCTCTTCCTAGCATACCCCTCACAGCCTACCCATCCCTCATTCAGAACTTGCTAGAAACATCACTTACTGAACACCCATTAAACACTCATACCTTTCTGTACTTTTCCTTTCCTAATGACGTGTTGTATGATTAATGTCGCCTTCCTCTTAGCTCCACGAGGGCAGGGACCACGTTTGTTTTGCTCCCCGCTGTATCCCCAGTCTAGCCTAGCACTCTGCCTGGCACAGAGAAGGCATCTATGAATATCTTTTGACTGCTAAATGATTATATTAAACACGTGTTACAAAACAGTGCATTAGGCATCTTTCTCTAAACTTTATTTTAAATCATGCATTCTCAGTGGGGCAAAAATTAGTTGAGGGGGCGGATGGAGAAAAATCTCACTCTTTTAACGTATAAAACACAGGCATATATATCTACATATCTATATCCACAGATACAACCTGTGGTATTAATTCCATGGGGTGGGAGATGATAATGGGGAAAAAAAAAAAGGCTCAGAATCAATGTGTCCAACAGTGACACACAGCTACACACCATCAGCATGCCCCATGAGCTGGGCCCTAGGCCTCGGGCCTTCCATGTGGGATCGCATTCACTCTTTATGCCCAACCAAGTGAGGTGGGTCATCGGTCCCCACAGACAGGAAACGGAGGCAGAGAAAGACTCACTTCAAGCCCAGGGTGAAAGGCTGGTCACAGTTACAGTGTGGGCATGACTCCAGGCGCGCCAGATCCCAGAGCCTTGTCAGTAACCGCCCCCCACCCCAGTGGCTGAGACTCAGCTCACAAGGACAGCTCTGGTAGGGAACAAAACCCAGGAGTAAGAGCAGGTGGGGAGCAGCCTCACTTACTTTATTCGCATTTGAAGATATTGTACTTGCCATCAGTCCTTCAAGGTAACTCCCAAGACTGACCCCTTTCACAGTGATTATGGCTTCTTGCGTCAAAACAGTTCTGGAACAAAACACATTCACACAGTTTCAGGATGACCTAACTTTCATTTTTTAAAGAAATATTTGATAGAAAAATTAAAACACACTGTAAAATAACTTTGCTAAAACATTTTCTACTCACTTTTCTGGGTCTTGAGGATGTGGTTTGTATATAAGTCTCTCATCTACTGAAACCATATTTGTAAACGAAATCTATAGAATCAAAAAAAAGCCACATCATTTTGGAAACCAAGATTGAACACATGTCCAAAATTAATTCACAAACCAAAAGCTTGCCAGCTAAATATACAAAACAACAACAAATAAACCACTTTCATGTTACTGTGTAAACAGAACTTTTCACTATGTATTACTTCCTTTTATTAAAAAAACAATAAATTTGACAAAAGTATTATAATGGTAACAACATGCACGAGTCCAAATTCATTTCATCAAGGGCCGCCCCTTAGAAGTGATCAGCAGGCTCACCAGGGCGGTGAGGCTGAGCTGCGAACAGGCGGAGACAACAGGGCATGTAAGCTCTGATTTTCTAAACCAAAGTCAAGAAGCACACATTCATTTGTATATCAACTACAAAAGAGAAGAAAAAATTTAGCAAAATAGTCTAAAAATAAAACAAAAGGGAGCTCACACTTACATTAGTAGATTTCAGTTCCATTGTTTTCTCTACAGGATCCACCACAGAATGCTCCTGCACGTACGTTTTGGTTCTTGCTGCGCCAATAAGCTAGGTCAAACACTCAGAGTTAGTAATCAGAGGAGGCAGGCCTTCTCAACAAGGGTATCAACATTTTATTTGAAGGTAAAAATGTGTTAATATCTTGAATCAAAAATCTGTTTCATAAAAAACACGAGGAATCAGCAAAGGTCAGAAAGGAGGCCCATTTAAGGGTAAAAGGAATTCACACACATACCATGGAGATGAGACTGTCAAACACTAAAGCTCTCCTCAGGGGCAACTAGCACCCAGCCCACTGAGAACGCACGGGGAACCAGGCAGGATGCTGAGACCACCAGGACGTGACGGTGGAGCAGCGAGCCTGGAACGTGGAAAGCGTAACATTCGGGGGAAACGTGGCATCGAGAGAAAGGAGCGCTTCAGAGTATCTGTCAGTTTTTCCTAGAGCAGCCCAAGGCAGAGGATGTGCGGCTCCATTTGCCACACAGAAAACCAGCCCTCTCACGGGGGAGGGCAACACAGCAACCCTGCAGTGCCCCCGCGCTCGGGTCCCAAGACTGGCCCAGTCGTGCTCACAGCTGTGTCCCCACCACCAAGGGCAGTGGTTCGGACAAAGGAAGCAGTCAGTGCATTTCTGCTAAAAAATGCGTCCTTTAGCTTTCTGAGTGGGCCCACCTTCTAGAAAGAGAACCTCTACAGAAAACGGGGTCCACTTATCATAGCAGGGTTCTCTCACATTGTGATAAACTGGCATTTCAGGTTTTTGCTGGTGAAACTGGCTCACTAAAGCCTGCTCATTTGTGACAGCACAGAATTCTGTTTTTAAATGTACAGGGAGAAGGCCCAGATCTTGGAACAAATGGGGCAACAGCAACGCCCGAGAGTCTGCTCCTCACTTGCTGTGCCTGTCCCTCCTCCATCAACCACAGCAACTGCCAGCCAACCACCACGGCGACACCGGCACTGCCACATCCACCGAGGGCCTCAAGCTGCTGGCAAGGTAGGAAAGGCAGAACCAAACTCTGCGATTACAGAGCATCAGCTGGCTTCCTTCAGAAGGTTTTATCAGGTACCTTCAAGAAGCCTGTAATAATATTTCCAATTCATTATACACTCATAACTCAAGTTTATTATAATACAATTTGAACTGATGCAAAAATGACATTCAGAATCAGCTCCCACAACCTACTTGAAATTATAATGTGGTTTAGAAAACTTCTCTACAGCAGTCACATTCCTCCAGGAATAAAGACACACTTACAGACTTCACGATGGAAGGCAGTCCCCACTCTGTGCTGAGAAGTCTGTGGCTGTGCAACTTTCCAGAGGGATCTATATGTCTGTCCAATACATCAACTCCAACCACGTTCGGGTTCATAGGGTTTGGGTACTTCTGCATTGCAGCTGTTGTGACAGTTTCCCATGGGTGGCTGCCAAAATGAATCAAAAAGCAAACATTTAAAAATATGAATATAAATTCAACCATTTTCATAAGCCATCATTTTTTATAATTGAAGTTTAATTAATTTCCCTAGGGAAATTATTTTCTGAAATACTGACTGAAAGATCATGATTTGCGGGGGCTCAGACTGCATCTCGGATATGTACAGGCCTCAGTATTTTTTTCAGCACACAGGCTCTATGGTACAACTGATGCCTAAAAGTTTAAAGTAACCTACAGAGCGTTACAATACAGTTTAAGTAATCTTTTCTATTCATGTGTCCACTCTCACATATAAATTTTGTTTCTAAAAATCAGATTCATAAAAATGTATTTAAAAATTATGTCCTACAGAAACAGACAGCAAAAAATGTTATCATACCATTTATTCTTTTATCTGACCCTTCTGTGAAGCTATAAAAAATTAGTAAGAGTCAACAAACTTAGAGGCAATGTAAATTCTTACAGGGATTACAAGACCCAAAGCATTACTGTTTCAAATACCATACTATTAAAAATGTATTTTTCTCTATTAAGGTTACTTTCCTCAAAGGAGTGATTTCTGAGTTGTTTTGAAAAGGTCACTCAATACAACAACATGTTTTTTAAGGTGTTGCTAATGTGCTATTTTCTAATATTCTCTCCTAATAAGCATTTGCTTATCATTTAGGATTGAAATGGTAACAATATCATGGAACTTACAGCATCTTTATATTCTTGAAAAAGCACATGTACTTGGGTGATTCAAAATGTGATGTACATTTGTTCTCTTCACAACTTATCTGAATAAAATGCTTGTACAGAAGATACCCTACTCAAAAGAGCCCCTTATTAGCCACAATGAGCATTAAAAGTGACTTAGGCCACCTGCAGTCCGATTCCACATGTCTGCACTGAGAGGAAAAAGATGAGATCTGGAGATGATGTTTCAAACTAGTTACCGATAAACCACACAGCATTACTTTTAATTTCGATAAAAGCAAAACAGGTACACAGTACCCTACTTCAACTTTTCAGAGAACTAAGCCTGACAATGCTTTTTGTGGAAGGAAGGAAAATCTCAACCCCGTTCATTTCTCAAAACCCTGGATAACCAGTGATTTTATCGTTAATGTTTTCATTTTTGCTATAACATTATATACAAGTGAACCTCATTCTGTTTTTAACCTCAGGTCTTATTCATCAATCAGTGCAGGTATATAAGCAGAGCTATTTCATAAATCTAACAAGCCCCCACACACAGAAGAGACACAGGCCAAGCACTCTGACTGTTACCAAGGTAACTATCTAAAATGAAAATCAGATGAGCCCTCCCCTGAATCCATCTAGTCATATACCACGGTTGGCTGGCTTCCTCACACTTCTCTCTTCCCCCCACTTCCTCTAAAAAAATTAATAATTGTATGGCTTCAGGGTGGTTATGCATGATTTGTAATTTAGTCCTGTCCTCTCTGAGCCAACCTGAAGAAACTGATGTTGACTTAGCTTGGACTGAGACTGCTTTATGAAACATAACTAGCTGAAAAGTTACAAAGGCTGCATATTATGATTAACAGTCTTCCAGCAACTCATTTTAACTGAATTAATGTAATTATGTGAAAAGACTTCACAGTGGAAGACAGTCAAAGATGGCTCCAAAGGGCAGTCAGTAGAACCTGGTGATGGCTTAGAGAGCTGTCCAGTTTTTTTAACCTATAAAACCAGGTGGGGAACACTGTTAACTCCGCAAGGCAGCAATAATGTCTTGATTTATTTGCCGAAGTGTAACCAATCTAAGGAACAGTTAGTTCCTGGCCCAGAGCAAGCTTTCATATTTTTTGAAGGCATCAATGAATGATTTCAGCTGGATACCAACTACATGCTAGGCCTCAGAAGGACGTGTTGGAAAATCAAAGGTGGGTAAGACACAGAATGATCACTTAGATGTTGTTGTTAGTAACATCCTTGAGATGGGAAACACAGGGCGACTGGAGCCTGAGGGACATGTGAGTGGAGATACCTGCTAAAGCCTGAAATTAAGGATTTGAAGTTCAAGAGAGGCTGGAGCCCAAGGTACAGATTTGGGTGCCATGTATGTGCATGTATCAGCTGGGACCTTGATCAAAAAGCCCAGATTATCTGGGGAGAATCAGGACCAGAGCTCCTTCTCCCAGGACAGACACAGCATTTACGTGAATATGTCTATCTGCTGGGAGGAGAGTCCCAAAGCGGTCATCAAATTTCAGAGAGGTCTGTGACGAAAAGAGAGAAAGAAAGATTAGGAACCTCTGATGAAATGCAAGATAAGAAGGCCAACAGAATTTCACTGAACATTCACACTGAAGGGAAAGTAGAGAGGGAAATATTAAAGAGAAGGGCAGAACTGGGGAGTGGGGGGTAGGGAACAAGCCAAAGAGAAGAGTGTTAAAGTTCTAAGGAGATACAGCTTGTTAAAGCATTTAAACCCAGAAGAGCATTGCAAAGAAACCACCCATGGTCCCAAGGGCTGAAATGGAGTAGTGAAGAATGTGACCAGGTTAAAGAACATCAGAAAGACTACAAATTTAGGGTCTTTTCCCCCCAGAAAGGCTATAAAATATTAGACAGAAAAGAAGTCTTCCCTCTGATTCTAACTTCCTATACTTTCCAGGATCCAGTGGACTCTGGGATGTGTCTGATTCACGGAATATGTATAAGGTTACAACCTCTTTTAAAAATTGCCTTCAGAAACATTGTTCAAAACAATTCAAATGGTTGGACTAAAATACATTTCAAAGCTATAAAAATTAAGATGGTGTGGCGACAAGATCAAGTTCAGTGGAACAGGGAATAGGGCAGATGGCTCAGAAATGGATTCAAATACAAACCACAGCAGTGTTCAGGGCACGGGTGACACTTCAAATCAATGAGAGAGAAAGGTCAGTCAATAAAGAGTGATGAGATAATCGATCAACTATCTGTTTAGGCAAAAATGATATAGCGAGTTAAATGTGTGGTTCTTTTGTACAATGAATCACGGACCCAGAAGGGAATCTAATTATCAGCGTTCAACAGATTTAAGGCCTATTTTCGTTACTAAATATTTCTCGCTAACCCAGAGATGTTAATGAACGTGACCTCAAAGACATCTTACACCACCAGGCCCTGATTACACCATTACCTTCCATGTCTCAGACGAAAATGGGTAACCCAAGGTCACACAGCTTGTTGAAGCCAGAAGTGGACCTTGGACTTCAATTCCAAGGCCATAAATTGCAATTCCTCAGGTCAAGGAAGTGCCAGAAAGTTTCGCCTCCCCGTCTCCTGAGCTCACGCTAAATCCACATTCCGAGGTAAGGAACTCCACCCAAAGATGGTGGGGAGACTAGACTCAACAGCCCACACCTTGCTCGGGGGTTCCTCGGCTCCACAACCCACACGGTGCTGCAAGGCCTGACACGGCAACGAGGGGCCCTCCCACTCCGAGTGCAGTGAAGGACCTCGTGCTCGGCGACGCCCCCAGCGCCCGAGGGGGCGTCCCCGGGAGGATGACCGCCAGGCCCCTCCTGGCCGGGCGGGGACTGGGCCTGGAGGTCAGGCGCCTTCTCCCCTGGGGGCCCACTCCTGGGGCGTCCCCGGG